TAGCTCAAATAAATTTTGCTGAGTATCACCTTTTTTTAATGAAGATGACCTTAATGACAACATTTAATAAGACATGTTGAGTGGTAGCAATTTGGGAAGCATCTGTTCGTAAGACAAGTTTTGCTTCTTTATTCCAGTAGCACAAATTTGTGACTTCTGCTATTGCGTCTTTAATAGATTTAAAAGCAGCTTCAGCCACCTGAGTAAGCGATAGCTTCTTGGGATTACCTTGAAGCAAGTCGGTCAGAGGAGACAAAATTTCAGAGGCTAGTGGAATGAATCGTACATAGTAATTGACCAAACCAAGAAAACAGCATAAACTACGGGGGGATTCTAGTATTCGATATTCCCAAATCACTGTTGCTTTCTCTGCGTCTGCTCCAAAAACACATTTCTGAGGATTAATAGTGATGCCGAAAGCTTTAAGACGGGTAAAAATATGCCGTAGGTGCAGCAAATGTTCATTGTTGTCTTTGCTGGAGATGAGAATTTCATCAATGTAGACAAAGACGGAGTCGAGATTGCGGAGAACTTGATCCATGAAACACTGTAAAGTCTGTGCTGCGTTGCGTAGACCGAAAGGCATTCGTAGAAACTGAAATAGGCCAAATAGAGTAATAACAGCAGTTTTCGGGACGTCTCCGGGGGCCACAGGAATCCTATGAAAAGCCCGAAAAAGATCAAGTCTTGGAAAGCCTTTAGAGACGTTTAAACCCAGTGAAAAATCGTGGACATGAGGGATGGGATACCGGTCAGGGACTGCGACATCATGTAGGGCTCTGAAATCACCGCGGGGTCTCCAGATTTCTTAGGTACCATGTGTACAGGGGCCGCCCACGGGCTATCAAAGGGGCGGATTATGCAAAGAAGGGCACATATGTTCAAACTCTGCTCTGGCTGTTCCGAGTTTATCAGGGCCAAGTCGTTTGGCACTGGCGGTCGTTGGCGGACATTTAATCACGATATGACGCGTGACTTGGTGAGTAGGTTCGCAGGACCCCTGAGCCAATTTGACAATCTCGAAAAAATCCTTCAAAAGTTTATCATCTGTTAGAGTTGGGCAATGCCAGGTGGATTCCAATTGAATTTATTGAAGCAGAGACTCCTCGAACAGATAATGTTGTGTATGAGTCGATAAGCTTTCGTTGTGTTACAACAACTAATAGACCGAAATGGGAAAGAAAATTATTACTAATTATTGGGCATTGAACATCAGCCAAGGTAAAAATGAAGGCATATTCTTGTCTTAGGCATAGATCTAAGGTGAGCAACGTTTGGGCATACGTTACAATGGGCGAATTGTTAGTAGTTTGAAGTTGAAGACCAGAGATTTTGCGGTGACGTTTGTCAGGTCCTGGAGAAATTACACTAACCTCGACACTGGTGTCAATCATAAATTTTAAAAAGCTGTGTGAATCGGAGACGTAAAATAGGCGACTAGATTGAGTGCCTAAACCAGTCGTCGCCATTACTGGCCAGCCTTCTCGTTTCTCGAAGGTAACTTGGATGACTAGAAGGCCTGGGGGTGATTACATGGGCATGCACAGACTTGTGGCTTGCCACCATAGGGCCGATGGTACCAATACAGGCCAGGTCGTTCTCCAGATTGGCTGAATTGGCGAAAACGTAATGAAGAACGTTTTCGACGTTGCGGATGTCTGCAGAAGCTGCTTGGGTTACCTCTAGTAAGTTCATGGAATTTTAGTGAGTTTGTCCAGTCGTTCTTACAAATGATTGAGGCCCAAATTGTAAGTATTAGCTGTGTCGCCAGGGAAGACAGTCTTATGACCCGGTCCCTGAGAAAACACTCGCGGGTTTTATCGGCTATCTTAGTGAGATTCTCCAGTGGTGTGTCAGAAGTTTATATTAAAATTATGGCATTGACGTTCTCGGAGAGACATTTAGCCCATAACTGGCACAGAACAGAGTCATCAACCTTGTTATTTCTGGCAAAACGGTGCATGTGCCGACGTTGAGAGGATACCTGTCGTCTAGTTCGACATCAGAAAGGAGGTGTTGAAGACGGGCCCAATTCTAGCTGGTCAACCGATCAAGAGCAGCACTTTTAAACTTATCATAGGGCTTTTTCGGGTGAATTGTTTCAACCAGATTAATAACTTTGGTTACGTCTTCTGTTGGTAGAATAGGAACAAGGTATTGGTAATTTAAAGACTGAGAAGTAACCTTTAGATTGCAAAATTGGGCCTCAATTTGCATAAACCAAACTCTAGCATTGGAAATGTAGAAAGGAAAGCTGAAGGAAATGCTGTTTTTTATAGGGGAGCCTACAGCATTAGGGTTAGACATTGGAGACAAAGAGGGCAGTTAAAATAAATCGACGGAAATCAGCGGCCAACTGAGTCGAAAAAAATGATTTCGTTTGTCGAGGCCACCAAATGTAGTAGCTTGTGGTCCAGTACTACCTTACAACCCTCTAGTTAACAGCCCGTAACAACCCGAGAAGGCTTGAACAGGAGGCGACAGAGAACGCGACCGTTTATTAGCGTCATGTCAGTCAAATGTGCGGATGTGTGAGGGGGTGACAGGAATCTGATAATAGTAACCAATGGAAAGGAGATGAATAATTGTCACTGTCAGGTCAGTAAATAGGGTTCACTCAGGCGCGATCGCTGATAATCCTCTACAATATCCAAAAATGGAAACTTACTTCTGAAAAATGTGTGGCTAGAAGTGAACATTAACAAAACGTAACACATAATAAATTTGATAGTTTTGGGCATTGGAGTAGCGTTGACAACCCTGGAATAAACTATATTTTCTTCATTAATTTGTGCTCATTATAAGTAAAAACAGTGAAGCAATTTTCGGGAAGCAGAGGCTGGTTTATTTTGGTGGAAGCACTCAATGCTGTTGAAATTTAGGACAGAATTTAAGTTGGTAAATGAAATACATTAATGTTCATTGGTTGTGAGATGAAATATGGAATACCATAAAAACACAGTATGTACAATATATTCAGTAGATTGACAAAGTAGCAGTCTGCACTTTTAGTGGATGAAAAAACAGAAACCTAATGAATGTGACTAGTCAGGATGAAAGTCAGTAGCATCTATTCAAGTTTAGGATGGATGATAAGGTATTAGACACTGAATTAATTTCTAGTGGATATATACTACCGAAGGACTGTAAGTGTTATCAAACCTAAATGAACAGAACAGACTTGTTTTTTCACTGTGTCATCAAAAAAAAATTATTTGTGCCGTGTTGACAGTTACGTTAAATGATGTTTTTGGTTTGGAATCTACTATGCTTTTAATGAAAACTATATCCGGATAATAACTGTAGATTTCAGAAGAAAAATAAATTTCGATTAAACTTTGGTAAAAGTAGTCAAGCTCAAAATTTGAACTATGGTTTTACATAGATTTTAATTGAACGTTTTAAGTTGATTTTAGTCAAAATTTTGCCAGGCACTCAAAGACAAGACAAATAATAACCCATAAGAGATAATTTAAAAGGTGATAAGAACCAGGTCCATGTAAAATTCCCACCTAAGGTAAAAGATAGGTTAAACTTGTATTCTGATTTCACTAAACCATTACATCTAATGGGAAGTCATTATTGTTTTGATTATAATGGCTTTACAAAGGCCTTAAGCGTATGATTATTACTATTTTTCTGATATTCTAACATCAGTAATCATAACTTTGAGTAAATCTAAAATTCTTTAGGACTAATAAAATGTGAAACTCGAAATAGAATTTCAATATTATTACGAGCTGCATAATACCAACAGACTTAATGGCTCCAATAATACTTATGTTAAATGTAAAAATAAAGTCAGATTTTAGTGTTTAGGCAAGAAAGAAAACGCCAATTAAAATAAATGAAAAAGCACTTACCTTGTTTTTTTGCTGCTGTTTTTGTTTAAAATATCTGTTTTAAGGTCCTGGCCTTGCGTAGGTATTCAAAAGTACAGGAAGCCTGCGGATTTCTGTGGTAGGTGTGCTGCTGTGCTGGACATCCGAGTAGAGCTAGCTAAACAACCATTTAAATGCAGTAGGATTATGACCTCATTTAAATTTTTATCATTTAAATAAAAATTAGGCAATTACGGTAAATTTGTGCTGCTAAGAGGCAGGTTAAATGTTCGATTTTTGTTATTAGACTGCATTAACCAGTTAAACCAGAATTGCCCAAGTTGCGTGAATTTGCGCATGGCTAAAATAAACACCTTGTGCTTAAATCTTGCCAAACTCCTTCCAATTAAATCAAAAGCTATATTTGAACAGCCTCTTTGCTTTGATTTATTGTTGTAACTGAATTGGCGTGTTTGAAGTGGCCCTCAAGGTAGCAACTAAATAAACAAACTATTTGAATAAAAAAACAAGCATTCTTAGTTGAATTATGTATCACGAATGAATATACCTGGTTAAAATTTTCTATGGTAGTATTGAATTCTTCAGGTTTTTTTTGAGGCATTTATTCAGAATATCGCTATTTTGGGGTGAAGTATTCATTCGGTTTACTGTTAAATCCAATCTCTTACTCTTCTTTATAGCAGTCTAGTGATCGGAATCAACTTTTGTCGGAAAATTAACATAAATACTATTTACTTTACAAAACACTAGGCATCGACAATAAACTAAGACTTGTTGTAGTAAAATAATTTATTGGAACCTGCAAATATTATTCTAGGCAATATATACGTTTGACGGAATACTTGATATAAACCTGGCCAATAAGCACTCGTTGCTTTGGATCTTTCGTATTCCACTGTTTAAATTACCGTGATTAAAAACTGTTGGCAAGCCCAAAAACCTTCAGTTTATTCACATAAACCATCTAAAATGGGGGTTTAATGAGGGTTAATTTTTAGGATTTTTAATTGATGGCAAAACACGACGATAAAGTCCTGGATCAAGCTCTGTCTCGACAGATGAGCGATATCGACATATCGATTAATGAGAACATAATTGCGGAAGCAGAAGAAAGCTCAAGCGATGAAACCATTTCGTTGGAAAGTTATCTGTTTTTAAATGAAGATTCCGAAGAAAAGATTTCTCGAGAGACTACGTGAGTCTGATTTATGTTGGTTTCCATTGTGTTACTGATGACAATTATAATCTCAAATAAGGTGTCACAAAAGCAGCCTTTTTATCTTAACGCATTGCCCTTGTTCTTTTGTTCTTTATATTAAATTGCGTTTTTTGACCAAGTCCAAAGGTGGCTGTAGAATATGAACCTCAAAGCAAAACAGATGAGGTGCACACTCGGGTAAACCAGATAGGCCCTGTCGACAATCGTAGTAAAAGACGGCGAAGGAACTTACAAAGGCGAAAGACTCTAGATGAGTTTCTGAAGGAAGGTAAGGATTGTGAAAGTTGTAATAACCCGTCAGATACAAAGAAGTATGAGATGGAGCAGGAGCAATCCGAAAGCGATCTCCGAGGTGAACTTGCGAAAGCTGTCGCTCTGTCAGGGGACCTTGAAGTAAGGAATTACATTTATTGACATGACATTGCATAATGACCTAACTCACATTCTCCCTGCAGGATGAGCCAGCAACTAAAAGTGATACTGAGCCTCGAGAGCCATATCAATCCTCACCTCCCGGGATTTCTTCCGAAAAGCAAATAGAAAATGAGTACAAGCATATGTTGTCAGTGGAGACTCAACACTTGAAGGACCTTGTAGAAATCCTTAAGGTGTGACTTTCTATTATTGTTAAACCAATTCAATGTAAAATCAAGCGATTTCTTGTCTGTTGGCATTTACAGAGTCGAATTTTTACTTATAATTTGATACACATCAAAATTAACTTTTTTCTAAGTGCGCCGAATATCGTGCAACTGTTTATTAGTGGATACACCACGTGAAAACCAACAGCGAGGCAATGAAATGAAAATGGTCCAAGTTCCTCTAGTATTTGGGAAGGTCCCGAATTGTAGTGGTTCTGCAAAGAATATACTAGCAACGCTTGCAACAAAATTTACTCCAAAACCATTATTTGGTGATTGGGCTGTTAAATATGGATATTCCACCCATTTTGTACTTGCATCTTTTTCAGGGCAAAAAAAATATAGCAGCAGCATTTGGAAGGCACTCATCCTCGGACATCTTTGACATCGTAAAGGAGCTTCATTCAACACAAGATTTGATTGTTTCGGTTTTGGGAAAAATATGTAGCCAGACGTCCAAATGCATTGAAGATTTAACCACGAAGTTGGTAAGATTTTGCAAGAGGCGTTTTAATGTCCATGTTCTGATGGCTACCCATGACGTGTGAAGGACAATCACCAACTGTCCATTTTACTTTACTGTGCAAAATTAAAGCAAGCTTTGTTGAGGACTAGCATATAATCTTAAATTTGCTTATGCGGAGTTCTTGCCTTAGGATTTAAATAACAGAAATCAGTCGATATTTGGACAATAGCTTAGTACCTACTTGACTTTACTTTTGCAGCCTAATTATTTGCAATGCTTTTCTCTTGGATAATGAAAATGTTTGCTAAATACACAATCGTAAATAGTATTAGTAGATTAAATCAGGTGAACGAAGCCAGATTTTTGGTTATTTCATCGTTGTTCTTTTGTTAGTTTCCCATTTAATCTTCACGTACACTCACGTAGATAAGGACACATTTCCTTCTCGAATATTTCTTCAGAATACACACACTTGAATTAGTTTGACTATATACTTGACCTTAACGCTCACTGAACGGCAGAAATTCGATAATTTCTACCACAGTTTAGAAGATTTTACTATGTGGTACTGACCTTGACTAATTACATATTTGAAGTAATACATGTTGATTTCAGTGCGAACGTCAGAAAGTCCTCTTGAAGTACGCTCAGACGGTCACTCCCCGTATTCCCACTTTTACGGCAAAATTGCAAAGCAAATCGCCTTCAACGGTAGGTTGAGTTTCGCTATTTTTGCGCATTCCGCTGCCTACAAATCATGCGGGACATCAGTAGGGGATTACACGTGGTTACGTACTGAGCGGTGTGCCGGTGTGCGGTGTCATGTGTCGACTAGTCATCCTCAAGGTCACGCGTCTGTTTGTAAGGTTACATAAATAGCTTGAATTGAAGATAAGGCTAGACTAAGAAGCCTTACTTCTGTTTAGGTTAATTTCATAGCTTACAACGTAGAACTCATGTCTGAACACTGAATTAACGTTCCCAGCCTCTGAAAGGGTTTATTTACCATGGCACCAACGAGGTAAGGAAGGCTTGCCTACTCACAGTCACGTTCTGAACAACAAAAGTCATTGTACAAGGCAGTCAGCACGTAAGTAGGAGGCTTTAATACTGCTTTACTTTGGTATAGAGGTCGAGCCGTATGACAAGGGCAGGTTCTTACCATTTTCGTAACTCAAATGTGTTGGATTCTGATTCAAATTTTGTTTCCGGGGTGGAGAGCAATCAAAACGAAACGAATACGTTATACATTTAATCGTTTTTGATGCTTGAAAATTTGATTCTCATAAACGCGTGCTTTTAGGCTTCTCAACGATATATCGGTAAGTAAAATACGGCTAATTTCCTCATATTTTTTATGGAAGGGAACTAACATTTAATATTAACGTTTTGTCATTCAAAAGTGGATCGTATCCTCCTCCTTTTAAATTTGCAGAGCTGCTGCAAAAACCATTGACGTGGATTTCCCAAACACTTGAGAATTTAAAGGTGAGCATTATTTACCGCTGACTTTACCTTCTTCAAATTTTTAATAATAGGACAAGTGTCTAAAAGCTGTGTTTCTTCACTGTAAATAGTAGTAGAGACCAGGAGGCCTAACATTATACTCTTGCAACTGAATTTCGCACTTGATGGGAATCTCGGATTTCCAATATGTATTGGAGGACGTTTATCCTCTCTGTTACTAGACTTTCAACTTCAGCTTAAAACTTTGCTCTAGCGTATTAGGAAGTACACACCAGCGGATGACCCGAACTATGAAATCGTCGCGACTGCCGAGGACGAATTGTTTGACGCATCTGGTGATCTGATGCCACCAAAGCAGGTGAAAGAACCGGTTAGTTCGAAAAGCATTCTTAATATTAGTTTTGGTGATTCGTTTTTGATGAGACGCTGGCCTGTGTTAGGGGGTGTTGTGTTTATATTCAAAAACCACGGCGCCCTTTCGAGTATTTCTCGTATTTGACATGAAGCACTGATTAGAGGTGTGAACTAATCAGCTAAAAATGCAATATGTCTGATTTACGATTTGTCTAAATAGTATGTGTAAAGAGCTCCCACGGTAAACCAATAAACTTGCGTATCTATCTGTCAGAGATACAGATTTTCATGTAGCTGCATTTCACTTTATCCATTTAAAGATTATTTAAGATTTATACTAATGGATTGAGTTTCCTTTGGTTTATTGTCCTCGGCGCCACAGCCGTTAATGTTCACTTCGGTAGATTGCCTTGTTATTGCCTGAGATCAGACACTTTCGGCGTAGTCTCCAAATTTGTTTTTCATATAACCCAGAAGTACTCCCCTAAATGCACGCTAATTGAGTATTTTGTGACTTGCACCCAGACAAGCCTGGGGTCGAAATAGAGTAGAATGCTATTCGCCGGTTCTCCTCAACCTCTTTCTATCAACATCGACCTTGATTCCATAGAACGCAATTGCGACTTCCGTTGAACCGTTAGGGTCAGACCGTGAATTGATCATCTCCATTAGGTCAGATTTATTAGAAAAAAGATACCATTTAATCATGTGGCACTTTTTGGAGAATTATTTAGCTGTTTTCATTCAAACATACGTTCCATCTATAGAATTGACATGATTGGTTTTAAATACTCACCGAATTCTATGCATATTTGAAATCTGGCTCGAGTTTTTAAATCAAATTTTTGGCGCTGAGCAAAAATTCATGGAAGATACCGAAACTCACCATAATTAATTTTTTACAACCGTCTGATTGAGCAAAATCAGCAATGCCATAGTGCATCGCTTGTCAAAGTACTTTTGGTGCAATAAAATAAAGCAAAATTAATGCCATTTTTTGATACAGTGTAGCAAGTTTCCTGTGAGATTTCATTCAATATTTAAAAACGATTATTTACTTTTCCGGAAACTTGCCTTTTTGTTGCTTGTTAAAGTGAACAGATAGCGGAAGTTTTGATTTTAGAAATCAGTTTATTGGTTTGTATAACAGTCAAAAAATTTGTAAAACTCTGAAAGTAGGCCGTTTAACAGTTTTTCCGTAGCTCATCTCCTTCGAAAAAAAAGGTATAAAGCTTTCCATTCGTAAAGCTCTTGCAGCCGATAGTTACTCATAGAGTGTTTTTAAATGCACGTGGCTTTCTTTAGATTAAACACTCTCTTTTGGTGGAACTTCGAAACCCCCCTAACGGTGATCGCAAGCTGATGTCAATATTCCTCTTCGACAACTACCTTGTTTGCGCTAGACAGAGGGTCATCATTTTGCGCAAGTACGTTAAGCAGAGATTTCTTACTCAAGCCTCTTTTCTCAAGTCAGGACTTTTCGCCTTATAAGTATGTCCTTGGTTTTTAAGGCGTTTCTCACATTCATGCCGCAGTATAAGTAATAGAGCATCAAGCTAAGTAATGTATGTGGTCCTGGTTTAAATAACGTTAACCATTGTGGGGTTCGTTGAGTCCATTTAGGTAACTGAAAAACTAGCGGAGAAGCCTTGTTCTTCAAGTTTACGTGTATGAACCGCAATCAATTTTCCTTAACGCTAAACTAAGCTTAATATTGCCAAGGGAGCAGAGTAGCATTTTTTGTCAAGCATTATCTCATTGAATCAAACATCTTTAGTGCAGAGGCGGCGATGATTCTAGACCATTAATTCACCCCACGAAGCATAGTCCACTCTAAGAAACCACCAGAATGCGCGTTGGTTGCTTTTGTTGTTGTTGTTGTTGTTGTCTTTTGTGGGTTATGTTTAGTACTTCTACGACTGACATAAGGACGCTAAGTAAAATCTGTGATCATGTGGTTAGTTGGCGAGTGTTGCACTTGAAGACAAATACTTTATGATCACGGTACTGACTCGTCGTCTGACAGTATAGAACTGTTTAGCGTATTAACTCTTCACTGGGTGCTATAAAATTGAAAAATTAGACACGATTTCAGATCAAGTTATTTTTTTGCTAACACATTATCGATCCAAATGATCCAGTAAATCCTAAGTCTTCGGTACTGCTGGCAAGTCAGCTGAAAAAATTAGAAAAAAGTAAATGGGATTAAAATTGATTTTGAACTCGTAATTGCTGGCTTAGGATGAAATTGATCGGACTCCTGCAGTTCATACTACTTTGTCTGTATTCAAATTTTACAAAGAGTTTAAAACAAACTTTCATACAGGTGCTCAATTTGAGCATAAACAAATGGCAGAGTTCAGTTTGCATGAAGAGCTGTAGTGGGCGTTAACCTCTTGTGCTTACACCTATGTTCGGTTTTTTAATACACGCCTGTCAATTAGTTTTGCGGTGTCCTGTTTCTGCTCGAGCTGTTTTTCCATCGTTTTAGAAGTTTTTTGGCAGTGACTCGAATCAATTCCGAATGCAGAATACTTTACGGAATTCTTATTGAGAGTTCCCTGTTGACCTCCTAGCACGGAAATTGCTCAGAAATGAATAAGCCAATTAAAGTGGAATGCCATCACAAAGAAGTGTACGAAAAATTAGGGATACCTTGCATTTCATATACACTATCAGGAACACTGGCAGAAGCCAGCGCAGGTAGTGTGCACGTGGTACCTTACAGCACAACAACCAATCTAGTTAACACCGCAGTTTTGTGACTCACACATACCAAACTGCAAGTGTTCGTAGTTGACAAGCTGTAAAATCGCTGCCTATCAGGCCTCAGGAGTCAACACAGATGGGTCAGGATGTGACGATGTGCTGTTTTTTAGTAGACAACACACTCTTGGGAGTTCTTTGTGTTAAATATCTGCTGCATGATATCAATCTAAGTACTTTTAAGCTCTTCATCTACTAAATCCAATCCTAAGAGTGAATGTAACTTTAGTCGCGTCTCACCAGAGACCTGTCACGGCAGATATGTTAGCTCTCGAGGAAGTTTTCGAGGGTTGGGTAAATGTGCTTCCTAGGTTCATTCATATGCCGGAATTAGTTACCGATGTCCTTAGAAATTTACTAGCAAGCTTCTATTTGAACTATTACAATTTCGATTTTTTAAGGCACTTTACTCAAGATTCTGACAGTGACACGGCATCGGTTTCTGGACAAGCAAAAGATCTGCAGTCGCTCAAAATGAACGCAAAGAGTATCAGTCGTTATGAGATTAAGTGGTTTCTTCCTTTGGATCGAGTGGAATCATTGGATTCGAATGGCATTGGTATGGTTCTACTGTCTTTTTTTCACAACGCAAATTAACCATGCCTTTGTTGAATGGCAATATCAAGAACTAAATGTTCCAGGCACCCATAGCATTTCCGTCAGTTTTCCACCTTACGGTGCCAAAACCCTATTATGGGTTATGCAAATCAAGCCTTATTTTCTCATTCGGAAGGTTACATCACAGCTTCTCATGCGTGTTTGGCTACCGGCACAGATTATAATTGAAGTTAGTTATCTCTTTTACCAATGCTGTATAAGAAGCTGAATGCCTGTGTTATCAAGTTAAAAAATGAGCTCTGGATTTTCTGGTGTGACACTCGATCATCAACACAAATGAAGCAGCTTTGAATTTTATATCGTATCGAAAATCTGCTAAAAGTTTGCGATTATTCAGGAACCAGCCTTGCTTGCATTCAAGATGATGAGTTTTAACGCTTAGCACTGCAATTAAAAGTAAATAAAACACTGGATTTCAATGATCGTAATTAGATACTTGCAGTGCATGTGCATGAAACATAGCGTAGAGATAATGTCAGTGCCAGTTTTCTGCACCGCCTAGTCGCATGCATCCAGGTCATGTGTACACGTAATGATGCCGCCAACGCAAGTTGTATGAGCTCGCTTAATTCCATCCTAGTCGCAATTTTATTGGACCGCTTTAAATCAAACTGAGCCACAATCTGTCTCCAGGTCACGTGTGCTTTGGGGACCTCTCGAACCACCCATACCTTTTGTCCAGACCAGCTTGGATTTTCTCCTTTTGTGAATTATCACCACGATACCTGTATAGTTTTTTTTTCTTTTTTAAGCTTTTGATGAAGATAAACTACGCGAGCGCCTTGAAAAGATTCAATCGTTGAAGGAGAAAATAACAAAAGTCCAAAGAGAACTACATGAAGAAACCAGCAAACTGGACAAAGAGGTGGGTTAGCCACAATACGCAAAAAATGATGTATCAATTAGACGAATTTCTGTATTTTTGCCTTTTAGTCAAAACGACAGAAGCTGAAAATCCCCAAGATTCATCGGCTTCGTTCCTACCTTTATGGTCTCGTAAGTAGCTTGCTAATACGGCAACTTTTAAAGTTGACCATTTTAAAGTTACCGTAAGCATTATTTACGACGTGTATAAAATACATAAAGTCTCTTATTTAAAAGGGGGCATAATTAAGCGTTTAAAGAACAAATTTTAGCAATTTGGTGCTAATTAATAATTTTCCTACAGAAGGCAGACTCGCTTGGTAAAAATATTTTACTCCCACAAATAAGGTTTGTGAAAAAATTTCTAATTAACTGTCAAACTTCTTTTGAATCGTTACACGCATCTAAACATGTATTGAAATGAAGGCTTTATCTGAACTACTTAAGTTGTAAAGAGTTGATTCAGAGATTCCAAAACACAAGTTATGCCTCGTCTATTAAAATGTGCAATTAATTATATATTTTAGCAAGCAGAACTCATCCTACAGGCTCCCAGACTTCCACTTTTTATTGGCGCCACGGGTGGTCAAAAGTATTGTCTCCTTATGGCCTCAGAAAAGGAACGTGTCTCTTGGAAGACTGCCATAATGGAAGCAAAGAATAGTTACATCTTAGGTGGTGGACAGCAGGACTTGGCTCTTGTAAGTCAGTCATTAACGCTTCTTGTGTGTTACGAAACCCAAACAGCAATAGTCTCAATTTGAAAAGCCATTTTTCAAGGTGTGCATAAGTATCGGATCTACTCAGATGTTAGAGGCCAAATCCACGTCAGGGTCGTTGTTTAATAACAATGAAACCGTAGTTGTATCAGTAGACGGAAGGACTATAAATACTTAGAAACGTCCAAAATGCACAAAGGACACGCTTTACCGAAGGAAGCGCAAAATGTTGAGCAGGTTGAATGAAGTTGAAAGGGAAAATTGTGTTTGCTAAATTTGCTGCTTTTGGACATTTTTTGCCTAGTTATATTACCTCAAGGTGTTCACATAATAAACGATCTGAAATTCATTTTAGTCAGTTAAACGGACTACCACACCGCGATCATTTGCCAGCAATGTACGTGAAGTATATCGAAGTTCAACACCGAACAAAAGTACCGCTGAAATTGATGTACAAGCGCAGTCGGATGCCATCAAAAACGAACTTTCCTACATCATAAATCACTGTAAAAGTGTGAGTTTAATTGTACGATGTTTAGTATGTTATGAATTTTATAAGAATTACTGAATCACACAAGGAAAAGTCCAGTTTCCTTAAGCCTCGAACATGGGTGGTTGTTTTAACTGCCCGACAGCAAGTATCCTTTGGTGTTTTTTCCAATGCTATGTTTAATCTCGGTGAGAATTCAATTCTCCCTAATTTATTTGTTATTCTATTTAGGTTGGGCCTCTTAATAAACTTGGAAAAGTCATAATATCAGGTAAGCACAATATTTCAAATTTAAATTAATTAAATTCAGTCTGATTTACAAGCGTGTAGTAATGAATCTATAGTCTGCGATCGACACAAGCAGGAAATAATGATTCTAACATGAATTTACGACGACTACAATTTTAACACAAGCAGTTAATTACAACCGTTTTTTTCAATAGCTATATTGATGATCGTAAAAGAGTTCTCCTTTAAAGCTTTGATCAAGATCACGCCAAATTAAAGTAATGCGGCCATTTGAATCATTGTCTCAGCAAGTCGGTCGTTAGAGCTAGTGATTTATCCTCTGTGCTTGTGGGCAGGTGCTTGATTTATTATTATTGTAAGGACCAGCCTTACTATAGCACTTCTATCTTTTTTGGAAACCCCAGGAAGGGGCTAACCTCTCTTACTTGGGTTCGACCTTCTGTTATTTCCGCAACATATTAATTTGTCTCTCTGGAGTGTACGAATCCTTGATTAAACGCGCATACTTGTGATGTACACATGCAATCGAGATGTGGAGTACTTTGACTTCAAGGTGTCTTTGGATCTCCTTAGTTGCTTTCACTATCTTCTTCCCAGATGAGGGTCTGTTTGAGTAGCCAAAAGCTATTAAGTGCTAAATCGAATGCTTAATGTTTTCAAGAAACATCTATTAAGGAAACCACATAATCCCACTGTTTGTTATTAAGATTGACAAATTTGATCGTTTCTTCACTGGACGTGCTTTATTCCACTCAAATTATTTCTCTCCTTTCCTTTAGGCAGTGCCTTAAGCGGTATTTTGGAAGTATGCGTTCATGAAATTAATGGTCTCGTGGATATTGCACGTAAGCAATTGTCGCGCCTAGTTACTTTGTCCGGGATTAGCTAGTGTAGTGGGCATCCCAATAAACACATAGTTGCAGAATTTCATCAGCTATGCCAGCAGGCTTTTTAAGGTTGTTTATATTCCCAATGCGGATTAATCCTTCACTCAAGTCTAAAAAATACCGCAAATAAATAACAGTCTTTTCAAGTAGGTTTGATTAAATGCGCTTGTTTGGTGATAACCCCAGGTTTAGACCTCTGACATCCTGTGATTCTGTATACTGAAATACTTGATCTTACCTACTCGGAGGCAGTATCAATATTTCGGTTTTGGCTCACATCAACCTGACTCTAATTATTTGTTGAATGAATAAGTTCTGTTTTTTGTTCTACAGCGTATTACGTTGCAATAGAAGTGGATTTTTATGGACAGTTTGAGCAGGTAGCCAAGACAAGGTGCATAAGCGACACCTTGAACCCACGCTGGGATCAAGTAAGCAGTGAGGAGTTAAAGCCCAAATATGTTCGCTCTTACTATCTAAACTCTTTTTTCGCCCCAGAATTTCATGATTGTCCTTGAAACCTCCCAAACCATATGCTTTACGGTCTTTCGTCGGTCAACGGTAATTGGACAACTGGAGCTTCCGGTAAGTGGTAATCCAGGAGATTAAATTAGAATCCGACTAACAATTCGCTATTGGCTGCTTGTTACAAGTGGCCAACCTTAAAACTGGGCAGTATGTTTACCGAGGAGTTTGAATTTACCACGGCTAATCTTGGGTTAAATTCTTGATCCGGACGAGAGATCAAGGTGTTGATTACAGCAAACCACATATGTATGCTTTCATCTACTGCAAATTACGGTTTCAAATTGCTTTGTGGTATGTGGCACCAGAATATTTCATTTAATAAGGAAACAAGATACAGCATCCCCTAACGTTGCATTTCAAGTTTCGCTATTAGCCTATTACCTTATCTTACCTTTTTATCTCACCTTGCACAAAAGCTTGAACCAGATCTGATCGACCAAGCAAACGCATCCTACGACGTACATACCTACGAGGCCGTTCCAGAAACTGTAAGCCCAGAAATAAAAAAAAACCATTAAATGTTAATCTGCGAATTAGTTTGTTGACATGGTTTCGATGCTGTTCCATCAATTGCTTTTAGAAGTTGGTTCAGCTTAAAAAAATTACTAGACCGATTTCGCGATCAATTGATCTGCAGCACGCAGTTTGTGTAAATGACTTCGATGTAGGCATTATTTATTTCTGTACAGTAATATGTAAGTAAAAGCACCAAACGCTTAAGACTTTCACAACAATAAGTAAACTGCCTTACTTCGTAATTCCGCCAAATACAAGATCTGTTTGAATATTGAAATATGCCATTATGCACATTCATAAGATTGATCATTCATATTTTTTCCCAATTCCAGATAAAGTTGAAAATTTCCATCTCCTATACTGAAAAACAGAAGCCCTACATAAGAAAGCTATCAAAGGAGAATTCTGGTGTATATGGCCAGGCTCTTAGTGAAGTTTTAAAGTTAGTATTATTCTAGACAGCTTATTACCAATGCAAGTTTTGTTTGTTGTCGAATTAAAAAAGGCCTAAAAATCCAACACGTGATTAAAAGTTGTTTTTAAAACCAGGCCGCGATTCACCATGAATTTAAAGTTTAATACGCGTAAATTTAGGTCTTAACGAATATTAACTTGTCTACAGGACTGCAAAACATCACCAACGGTCTGTGACATGAATAGCAAAGGGAAGATTTGAGTTAGTGCAACTTGCAAGTGGTTATTGGAGTATCACTCCGGATATGCATTTTACAAAACAAGATTAGGACCTCTCCTCGGCTCCATTAGCGACATTTGAGGCCCGAAGTAATACATACATTATGAATTAAAATGCTCCACCCGTAGTCTTCAAATTTAGACAGCAATACTTGTTCGAAATTTTCCGCCTGCCTCCTTGCTTGCAGGCGTGACCAAGCCAACCTGGATGAACTAAGAACGTTGGCCAACTTCAAGCGAACAAACAAAAGTGGGAGAAACCATGACAAGCGAGAGGAGGAGCTGCGAGTCCCAGTTTTGGTTACCGCCTGCGTTGAAGAGGTCGAACGACGGGGACTCCAAGAGGAGGGTATCTATCGCATTAGCGGTGCCGCAACCGCCATCAGCTACCTTCAGGGTCTCTTTGATCAGGGTTAGCCTTCTGATACCTTTATAATAGCGAATCAGTCTCTTTGAAGTCTTCGCCATCATTACAAATGGGTTGGCACTTAAAGTTAGGCAGGAAATTTTGAATTTTGTGAAAAGCATAATGCTTCATGGCGAAAGCAAGCAAATAGTTTTTGAATAACAATGGTTGGTGCAATCACGTCATATCAACCTCGGTTAGTAACTTATGTTTCTATATTGTCACTTATAGCTTCCGATGCTTTCTAACTGTATATACTTGCGTTAATAAATCGGCTGTCTCAAACCACTTTTCGTGGTAGTAGTCAAAGTAAAAAAAATATTGTTGGTGCTGCTGGTTGACAACATTGTGCGTGAACTCCCCACATAAAGGACTTTAGGGATCTCGAGAGAACCTTTTCGCAATAACCGTAATGCAGGGTCTTTGTCTCGTTGTAACCTTTTCAGATGTAGCTCTGGCCATCAAACAGATTGGTGACTACGAGATAAACGTTGTTAGCGGTCTTTTGAAGCTCTTCTTCCGTGAACTTCCGGAGCCCATAATTCCACCGGCTAATCTTGTCGAACTGATCACAGCATCAGGTATTTTTAATTTGCATTGTCAGCACTCAATGACTTTTATTATTCAGGGCTTTTATTATCAGCTTTGCTGCACACTTCCGCGGTAATACAAGTGCTCTAACTTCAACGTTGGCTCTTCTCTAATTATACACTGACAGCCGACTGCAAACGTTTGCTCACTCTGCTTACAGAATCACGACGTTATAGTTCTTGATAAGGATCGTGGCTCTCAAAAAATAAAACGTCAAATGACATTGATTTTGCAGGATATTGGATTGTGTGCAATTGGTGGGATGCGTGGTATCAAAAAGGAGAAATTTACGATAATCATCCAAGCCGTTATTTTTTTGAAAACCACACGTAGCACTGAATTCAATCGAGAGCTAGGTAAAATGTTTCCGATGATTTTCATACCCTGATGAAGAATTTCTGCTTGTGTTATTTCGTTGAAATGTCGCTCAAAGAGTAGTGTTTTATCTGCTTTCTGACCCAGACAATGTCGTCATGATGGTTTAAAGCATAGTTGTTGACCTGAGAAGCTTTAAATTTATTTTTATTACCAACGACTCCGTGAGTCCGTAATTGTGCTGAATATATCTCTTTCATAGTATTGCCTCTATTTTTAAGCCATTACTAACGAAAACGCAAAGATGAAGGAGTTCAATCGCATTTTGAAGAGTATTCCTCGAGTAAATTTGGACACATTTCGATATCTTCTTGATCATCTTAATCGGTGAGTTAATTTGCCAACATTAACCTACCCTATCTTTTGTAACTTTTATACATGTTTAAATTGACATAATGTACTGTCGCTGCGCTAAATATTCAATTGACTTATCGTTTTATGAAAATGGCATGTCATTTTTTTCTGTTTTGTCTGATAATGCAGTCACTCGTCAAACCTGACACTTCCTAGAGGGCACTCTTTAAGGACTGCCACTGGCGTATTGAACAAAATGACAAAGATCTTATCAAAACCGGACGGAAGATATAAAAAAATGCCTATTTTAAACGTTCTTAATTTATTTTTATTTACTCTTCGAGGATGGCTACTTGAGTGCTTATCGAAAACTCTTGGGTGCCGTGTCTACCATGAAATTAGTACAACAGGAGTCCATCCACTTATTAGAAACACATCATTTTGCTCTGACATAGTTGATCTTCTGATTTTTAATAACATTCCGCCGAATCTCCTAACGTCGGAAACTTCGTTAAGGATCAGTGTTCCGCAGTCGAGCTGTAAATGCGAAGTTTGGTGCGCAGAAAGCGTATGGTAGAACATATAACTAATGACGCTTTTCCTTTTGACATTCTCAAATAAGAATTTCATTTGCGGCATTGGTTTTGACGTCCTTTTTATTTTTCTAATTATGGTCAGTTGGGTGCGTTTAGCTAATCGTTAGGTTTTGCACCCGGCTTAAGTTCTGTGTATTAGTTGATTTTAATAATTGTACGCGGTTTTCGATTCACATTCTCATAACACAAGGTGATACAGCCTCCCGGAATAATCTTGTTTTGTTGACCCCTTTCGTGACAGGATTCGTGATGTTGGCGCAACTAGGTTCACCGATTTTGAATTGCAGCTTTATTGAGAATTTTGACTGTACCCTGTTTTTGCTATGTGCCAGGTAGTAAATGAAAACGAGAAGGGTTAATGAAACGGACTGAGTTTTTTTGCACTTGTAGTTCAGTCAAAAGTGAGAACGAAGTAGAAGCGAATAACTATCAATGGGTATAATCAACAGGAGGAAATTCCTTGGCACCACTTACTCCACACGTGCTCCTAATCAATGTGCTAAGTGGTCATTGCTTGAGATCTAAACTTACTGTGGCCAGTTCAAAGAAGGACTCATATCGTAATTTGATGCATCAAATATATTAGATACGGGCGTTTTAGGACGGTAGTTGCACTTTGGCAAGGGCTTCCACTGGGAGACAGTGTTACTTGCCAATAACAGACTTCCATTTTAATGCGCCTAACATGTTTGCGAACTCTGCCTTTTAGGGTCTGTCTGCACGAATCAGAAAACAAGATGAATTTGGGGAACCTTTCATTGATTTGGGGAATGACACTTTTTCGACCAGATTGCACTTCCGCCTTAATAACCCTCCCAAGTGACTCAAAAGATCCTACAGACAGGGCCAAGTCTCCCCCGCCTTCGGTCTTGTCGGCAGCTTCGAACAGCATGTTACTAAACATGATTTTTAACACAATCTTCAAAGCCTACGCAGAAGGGAAACTTGATTTATCTCCCTCCTAAAATACGTTTCAGATTATGTTTGTATATGTTTGATTCTCGACACTTTCTAGTGTTCTTTGTCGCTTTTACGCGTACACTAATTTGACCTTAATAAATGTACTCATGTCGTAACCTCTGTTAATGCACCCTGCGATAATCACGTTGATGCCGACAATGTCACATGCTTTCTTGCGTGTAGCATTGAGTTTAGCATGCAGGAAATGATTTTTAATAGATGTGTTTTGAAGAATGTCGATGCCGGTATCTCAGTGGAGTCAAGATGAACCATCACAGTTTACAGCTTGTCGTTTTTGGGAGCTCATGCCAGTACAAGTGCCTCGGTTGTAGGATGTATGTGTTGTTAGTGCAACATAGAAAGTAAAGTTTTGCCCAGAAAGACAGTTTTGCACAGCATATTGGAGTTTTCGTTTAAATTCTTGTGGCAACATGGGCTGGCAGTTCGTCTGTCGTTGAGTTTGCGTGGCGTCGGTGTGAATTATAGGGAGGTTATAAAATTGTCATTTCTGTGTGGCATAAATGGGGAGGGGACTCCTACAGCTAAGACCACTCCAAGGAACGCTTTTCTTCTGTGCTTCCACTTCTCAAAGGCCAAATACATTTTGCGATAACCTACAAAACTAATAGTAGAATGGCATGTTCTGTTTCGTTATGCACAAAGTGCATTTTAGTTATGTTTTCCATTAATTAGGATACCACAAAAGCTCCCATTTTGTTGCTTAAAGCACCTTCAGATGATTGGCTTTAGGCTGTAGTTACTCTGAACCAAGCCAAGAATTAAACAGGGACTTTATGCAGATCAAGGAAAAGGAGGCAGTTATTATAGTCTCACAATAATCAACTACTTCAAAGGTCACCATTTTATAACCAAACTGCACATCCGTAAGGCTGATAGTAGTATATTCGGCATAAGCTAATTCCGTTCAAACAATCTCCGATGTCAAAGCTAAGTGAAGGTAATGCAACTTTAAAAACGTTAATTAAAATTGCTGGTTTCAACATTAGGCAGATAAACCATTAACAAATAATGAAATTACGTCAAGACCTCATTCATGCTCTGATGGTTTATTTAAGCAATGAACTATTTAAATAAACATGTGCCATGCCACAACGTGGCTTAAATGATTCCCTCCTGCTTCCCTAAAGACTATAATGGACATCCGCAATTTCTTCCTTGCCTTCTAGATAGGCCGAAAGAGTTCGCTGTGGTTGGAAATTGATTTAATCGAAAATCTAGTAAATTTCCTTATAGTGCAATTTATTGCTCATTTGAATAGACTTCTAATGAATTCGACATGAAACGTACCAAAAGGTATAATAGATTGTAGCACGTTAACAATTTGGTTGAAATTTAATCCATACAATCCTAAGATTTGAAGTCTAAATTAGCCATGCTACTAACAATTAACAAATAATAAAATGGCATAACCAATTACAGCTTGATGGCGTGTACTGAAATTCCTTGGTTTTAAACGTTAGAGAACGACTCATGTGACATTTGCTACACTGCGTTGCCTAAATTGAGAATGTTTCTGTTCAGCTTTTTTACCACAAGTCGTGAATTTAATAAAGTAGTGGCACCTGATGGATGGTCACAAAATTTTAACATTGCTTTCACATTTAGAAATATCGATTTAGCACCATATTTTTACTAAGCCAAAAAGGGTTTCCGTAATGTGGTGGGTTATGTCAGCCACAAAGTGAAATTACAATATTTACATCTAGTATCCTGCCATTCGTTATTCTGGGTCGAGACTTTTAAAAAAATCGTTGCTTTTTAAACATGTTTCTGCCTTATGGTAGAGATAAAAACAACGCTTCCTGTAATACTTAAGTAGCATTTACTTTAGCCACAGCAACATGCAACTTAATTTTTTACCAGTGGCAACCCATTTGTTTCTTTGTTCGTTTAAGTCTTGAGCACATGAAAATAGCATAATTAATGCCTGTTTTGCTGTTATTCCGAATACACTAAAGGTTCTTAAAAAGGAATTTTGCGTTGTTTTATATTTCAGGAAAACTGGACAGTTACTTATGTAATTGCAATGGCTGCAATTCTCTCACTTACTTAGTTGAAGTTAATTAACTTATGAAACAGCTCCACGCAAAAAGTCGGAAAAATGCTAATTTTTGCAGCACTAGAGGTAACAAAGCCAAGTAAAGTGTATTTGAATAAATCCAACTTTTAGAAAGAATTGTGTTGCCTGTTTTTCTACATAACTATTAATAGCTTAGAAGTGGACAATTTTAAAGCCCCTACAACTTATTAAAAAAAATTTTTAAGCAGGCAAACTTGATTCCTTCATTGTCAGAAAATTAATCATGGAAATCCAGATTACTGCCAAAGTATGTTGTCGAAACCTAGACATCGAAGTTAAATTTATTTAAAATTTTTTTTGACGGTTGCTGTTTTTTCTAGATGAAACTGGTTTGGAATGTTAAAAAAATGTTCTATAAGTGATGAAACGCGGAATACTTTAAAATTAATTTCATATACATTTAACTTGGCATAAAATTAGACTAAACAAAACCAAGGATCTGCTCGCGACTGGGTGAACAAACAGACGTTTATTTTTAAAAAATAACCACCTGACTAATAACATTCATAATGCTGATGACTACTGTATGCAATTAATATTTTTAAAACAAAATATCAAATCTAAGTTCCCTTCTTTTAACGAGTAGGTTATTGTCTGGTAAAAATTTAAGGTAGAGTTACTTTTTTGGTTTTTGAATTTCAGCTGCACTAAATTTCTCTGGCCAATTGTAATGAAATATTTTTATCTGATGCCTTGCTAGCTGTTATTTTTTTAAAGCCGTAACACACTAGGGCTGTGTATTGTATGCAGCGTTTAATGAGAAGATGTGGATAATTTCAACAAAGATGTCATTTATTGACGTAGCTGTAATAAATTCAAAATATTTCAAAGAATATGTATTTTTGTGCACTCTAAATCAAATAAAATACAATTGAAGCCTCGCAAAAAACAATGAGTCAAAGAAAAGGCATTTTTATTTAATGCTGGGTAATGTGCAAGCAAAAAGGTGGATGAAAGAATAGCCATTCTAGAAGAAGTAGAATCCACGGACATGGGCAGACGCGTCTATAAATGACGTCAAGAAATTGGTTTTTGTACTTGCCGTTTTCATTTAGTTGGGGCATTTAGTTCATCCATGGCTCGTTTTGTGGCAAAATTTAATTGTTTTATTGTGTTTAAGTGGGAAATTTCGAAGACATCTGCCTCTCTATTTGTACTGAAGCGATAGCGAAATCCAGGCTAAAGGAGCGGGCAGTTGCAAAGGTAATGTCTCAAGTGGACTCGTGCGTCAAAATGTTGTGTAAAATACTCTTTTAGTGCGAAGGCATTAGGATTGTGAGACATTAATTTCCGCTTTATAACCAACAATTTAAATCATTGATTAGATTTAGTCGCATCTAGCAGAGTCGACGACTGTAGAGGACTATTCTAAGCCACGTGTTTTGCCATATGATTGTTGCCTACCTTCATATTACCACATTAAGCATTCACATTTTAATTATTCCTTCCGTGCCTACCTGTAACCAAAACATACCAAATCCAAAGCATTTAAAAGCGGACTTTGGAAAGTATGAAAATAATACCGAAAACGGAAATAAGGTATTACAAAACGCATTAATACAAGCATCTGTTTAAAGGATCATTAGCGAATAGTCTGGCGGTGAAAATGCGTTCAACTTATGTCGCCTCTGCGGAACTAAGCAAAACCATTACCGATCAACCTGTACTTAAACGGTCCTACGTTATCAGGAATCATCAGGATTGGGATATTTCTTAGTGTCTTATTCGGTGAACACAAAGTTTAACATCATGTATTCTCTAAAATCAAACAATGGCACTCCAGGTTTCCTACAGACTTCATTTAGTTACCCGTTTTATAGTCCAAAACGAAATCAGGCAGCTTTTTAAATCCCAAAAACTGGAAAAGTTAATGATGATTGGAGCCCCAGTATGCCGCAAGAACAATGATTGCACAGAGGTTCAAACAAATCCAGTCACTTGCCCAAATACAAAAATGATCGCTTTTTCAAGCAATTGCGTCAACTTGAGTTTTTTAATCAATAACTGGTTTTAGCAAATTCCCATACATCGATGGGAAATTTTACACGAAATCTAGTATTGAGTGTGCATGCTCCAAAATCAGCGTTTGCGTGTGTTTATTGCTTTACTGAAACCTTCATTTTAATGAAATAATATTAAAGTTAGTGCAAAGTGAAAGTTATTACTTGACCCAAAAAATTGTTCTGGATTTAATAATAGCAATAATAGCAATGATAATAATGTAATAATAATAATAATAGAAAGAGAAAATGGCAAAGTTTAATGAGTTGGGACAGAAACCCGATTCCCAAATTAAACCGCTCACTTCCTGAGTCCACGATCCTATTTAGTTTTACTCTGTGATTAATAAGGTGCGGAAGAAGGTTTTTTTGATGTGGTCACAACATCAGCGGCTCGGACGATGGTGCCCAAAGCGGTGACTCTGAGTCGCCTTATATGCAAAAACGAATTCCTTTGACACTCAGAAAGGCGGCCCTTTTTCATTTATAATACTTCTGCAATGAAATTACATTTATTTGTGGCTGATACTTTACCGAGGACTAAATTCATTTCGCATCATAATGGAGCATTTTTATTCATTCGAAGACTAGATCAGAGAGTCATTATCGCATTGGTTTTGCGGGATCGACGGACCAAATTTTAAATTAATATTTTGTATCTACAGGAATCAACAGGAGCCTGATTCTTTGTTAATTTTAGTCACAGCGGCTCGGTTAATCACACTGCACCCTAATTCACTTGTTCTATCATCGGTTTTAGGTTACAATTTCGTAGCCCGCAAAGTTACTGAATCTAATTAAGTAGCCTGCATTTAATCTGTTTCGGGACTAAACTCGTTCTAGATAGACTATATAGCTATATTCTGGGAAAGCCGATCAGTTACTTATGATTTCATTAGTAACATTAAAGAATGTCATAACTAACCAAACGTTAAAAATTTAAAATAATTTTGGAAGCAGAGTCATTAGATGAGATGAGATTCCATTTGAAGCAAGCAACAAATGCTCTAGTCTTTTTTAGCTTGTATGTAAATCGGCTGAAGGATATTAACTGTTCTGTACAAAACGCTAGGTTTGCGACAACACTAAGATTTTCAGTGCTTGACATTCCGATATTTAGTTTCTTTTATAGCCTTATTGTCCTATATGGAAACATTTTTGCAAAAAACAGTCTCATATTTCTCGATAAATTGTTTAATGTTTACCATACGAAAAAGTGTTTTTTTTTTAAATTTATCAGTGTGACAAATAAAAATCTAAGGAACCCAGTCCGCATCTAAGCTGGTGGATTACGTATCATATTTCATTCAAAAGCTGGGTCCTGGTAATATCAAATTTCACTAGGCACTTGAACCCCGAAAATTGCAAAACACTACCTTATACCAGATTGTGCTGTCTGCTTAACTGTAAATCTCAAGTATGCCGGTTCAAACGCCAAGGTTGTGCTTGTTCGCGTGCCTATTTGTGTTTTGTCAAAAACCCTTTTCTCTGTCAGTGTGATTTTTACGGTTACCAGAGGTAGGCCAAGTTGTTCGCAGTGTGGGCACAGTCATAACTTAACAGTCACAGTCACAGTCATAACTTAACCACGCCACTAGCGTAAAAACTCCATTAACACCACTTCTGTACACTTATTTAAACAAAATTTTTACTGTTGCGGATTGAATCTCACAGCAATCTGAACCATTCCATTGCCTATCAGTTCAGTCATGAGAGTTTGTGTCGAACGTAATAATTTTGACAGCTCCAAGACCTAAAGTATTTGCGTTCCATGTAGTTTGCCAATTCCGATATGAATACTGCAACTTAAAGGTACAAGTATTTATCAAAATGGAAGTGTCGAATGACCTGTGTTTGGGTCTAACTTAAAACGTTTTCAGATTTATCTGGAGTTTGTAGCATAATTAATGTTTAAGTAAAAATAGTGCATACCATAGTTCGGCAGACATTTCAAACCAAATTAGAGGTAATAAAAACGTAAGTTTAACCCCTGGAGGATACTTGAGTGCACGAAATGCCCATTAACGGTCGGTGTTTTGCCTCGGTGAGCATCCAGGTATGTGAAACCATTTAATATTTGTTTTCATGTACCTTTTAGCTACACAGGACACACAAATTTGTGCATACGTCTCCTAAGATATAAACTGGGTGACATGGGTTTGGGAGTGTGGAGTTTCTGTGCGGGTTGTTTAAGGTCTGAGTGGACTAAAAGGCACTCGAAATCGGATAAGGCAAGTAATTGGAAACATCCAAATCTCATATGAAACAAATGCATTTTAACAGAACAGGTCATACGTCCTTTTTTAGTTCTTAAATGTTTGAATATAACCTAATGAATGACGACATATTATATCTAAGTTGGGTCATGCTCAGTTGATTTCATGCTGTCATTCCTAACTCGGGTAGTTAAGGTAAATGTTATTCACTATGCTCTGAGGGTTAAACGCGGTCGACTGTTTGCCGTTTCAAGGTTCGTGGAATAAGAAATTGAATGACCAACTAATTTATTACCAAAATGCGTATATTAGTAGAACAGTCTTCAGAAGACGTTTATTCCTAATTTCAGTACTGATTACAGTCTTTAGACACCTTTAAGTTTTTTGCTTTGAACCTCTGATTTTCACGGGCTTTGAAGAACCTGCTTGTGCTGATTTTTTCCAATGAAGTGGCTGCCCCTACCGTTAAGGGTTTCTTTTTTCACACAGAAGGTTGTTTAAAAAATTGGCATTTATATGTAGAGTTATCACAGCAAACGCTTCATCGACAAGGCAAACTGCTACCATCCCAAAACCGCCAGCATTCAATGCAATGAGTCAAAAAGTTTCTTAAATTCAGCGTTCATACGCAGCGACTGGCTTCGTCGTAGCACCTCCGGTTCTGGAATACCATACACGGGTGGAATTGACAGGTTTGCATATCCAAAATATTTCATCATTTCCATCGACTGGGACCTGAGAATGAGGGCTTGGGAAATCTTTGATCCTGGTAAGGCCCATTGGTTCAGTGCTTCTGTGTAAATCGGGAAAACCACTTGTTGAGTACTCTTTTCTTTTCTATAAATATAAAAAACAGTCAAGTTAGGCTATACTTGACGTAGACTGTTCTCATAAAGACCCAACACGTTATGCATGGTATAATAATATTAGCGCCGGACAGCAGGTGGTAGCTGCGGGAGACTGTTTATGCATTCTAAAATGTTTCAGCACAAAAAGTTTAGCTTTGCTTCACTAGATCGATCTAGTTATGCCCGTGAAATTTCAAGCAAATGCTACGCATCAGGTGCTGTATTTTTCTTGCTTACCTATAGGAAAGCCCATGGCATCAGCATTCTCATTTTTATTAACTCTCAGCAGTTTTCCTTACCTGTTGATTGATTCGTAGGCTGTACCAATAGTCTAGTGTGCTCTTAAGAAGACATTACTGGTTTTAAATATTTTTTGAATGTTTTTTTCACATGATCTGCTGTCAAACATGCTAATATTATTTGCTCCATCACCTTACTTCGCCGTTTTATGATAGTTCATTGACAGTTATTTAGCACTTATTGCTCACAAAATTACTATGCAACAGTCAATAAATTTTACATGACCACAGAATAGAAGCACACTTCTATCAGTTCCTTCGTCCTAAGAAAATTTTGCTAAGCAAATTTAAATTTAAGATTTTAAAATTAAAGATTCAGAGCACTTTATCTGTAAAGATCTCAGAACTGGTCACTGTATTAAGAGAACTTATTTCGTTCTCGTCGATGCTTGCCTTCTTGTTTTCATTTCTCAGATACAATTGTGAGTTTACATAATTTGATATTAACAATAACAAATCAATCGCTTGATATAAGTGGCAATTCGCATGCGGTTTTTTTCCTCAATTTTAAAGACTAACAGCAGCCACGCTGTCAGGCAAAATATTTAAATTAAACAAGAAATACTTTAGAGGATAATTATTTGTTTATATTTTTCAGAGGTCTTAAAAGGTTTAAAAGTTAACACGTCTTATTTCTAAATTTGCTTTTAAAAATAAATGCGTACTTAAACACTCCTCTCATAAGGCATTTTGTTGTTAGTAAAAACACGAATGCTTGGCCATGTTAGTTAATTTAAATTCTAGGAATCAAGAGATGGAAGAATTAAGATGCAATTATAAAAACCACACCCTAGGTTTACACAAAAACTATCTCCTACGTGTTCCGTGCAAATAATTTTAAACCACAAATAGATAAAAAGTGCCACGCATTCTCTGTACGTAATCAAGATGTTCACCTGAGGTGAACTTTATAATCCCAAACCTATCATATATTAAAGTCTTATCTCTTTTTTGACCACTTTGTAAAAACGCATCTAACTTATTGTAAATTGGATGATACACATTTACTTCCCAAAACGTTGTGCGGCGATGTTGGCGTCTGACTGCAGGCATTGCTTATGCACCCAAAAAAGCACCATGGATCAAGACTACATGTTAGTTCATAGTGTTTTCAAATAGGCAAAAGGTACAACTGCCAGGATTTCAACATTTAAGGAAGCCTGCTCCTAATTTAAAAGTAACTTTTGAATTTACAAATTAGAAAATCTGCACACCTTTGCATGCTTTGAATAATCGACAAGACTAAAACACAAATATCGATGTGGAATCACAAAAATAGCTAAAGGGTCTTTTATTACTGTACCACTATTACTGACACTTAATTACTTAACATAAGAAATGAATAGTAGATTGTCAAAATTGTCTGAACATGATGGAAATTCATTACTTTTAAGTCGTTTTCTTGATGACGAGCGCAATAACAATTTGCGCATCTCACAACTTATCCGGATTAATTTGCGGTAGGTAGAGTTGTCTTTAAAAAAATAATCAACAGAGCTCAGTTCTTTCTTATTAAGGCAGTTTTAACACGTGATTTTAATTACCAGTCACCAATTTGTGTAAAAAGAGTTAAGTATGATCGGGTGTTACAAAACGTAAAACATCTGAAAATTTGGGGCTCTGCGACGTTATCTTAACCAATTATGATGATGAAATCAGAAAAATTCGAAATGCACTTTCCAACACCATTGTTTTTAAGGTCAGTCATTGTCAGGTGGCTCAATTTTGTCTACATTTTCTCAGGACATCAGGCAATTCTTGGAATTTAAGTCCTCTTACGTGTTTGTCAAGTCGCCAAGGCAAAACAATAAATGTTAATGTATTTAAAAAAGACGTAAATAAAGCACATCGTTGTTTGCTAATAGATTAACATTTCAATGCAAAGATATAACTATAGCAGTTAAAACTGTTAACATTTGACGACTTTGGAATGTTGTTGCACGGAGAAAGTGAACAAAACGAGGTGTTTAGGCTATTTATACACATTAGGAATAAAGGATAGGGGTTAATTTGAGAGTGATAGAACAAAAAGGACAAATATCACAGTACCAAGCATCACCAATTACTTGTTAAAGCAGTCATACCTATTTCTAAAAGTCGATCATTTGCTAAATTTAGCAAGTGCCTGTCAGGACTCTAGACTGACCCGCAGAAATCGTCATGAGGGTATGTAAATGCTCAAGAAGCAATGTCTGGCAAAGTAAATTAGGCTGATTTAATATATGAGCAACTTGCCAAGTACATTTAGAGGTACAGTGTTTGGAAAACTCAATATTCTTGGTAACGTGCGAAATAGTACAGAAAAGTGAAGTTTCGAATTGTCCATATTCGACCATTGTGTGTTATTTCGATAGTTCAGTGATTTTTGTGATCTCCGTGGCTATCATGCGAATTTACTGAGTAACCTTTTCAATCAAGCTATGAAATAACAATTATAAGTCGCTCAGTGTTTGGAAACAAAGGCGAAACAAATTTGTTGAACTCACCGTGACAACTTCACTTCTCCCATGTTTTGATCGTGCTGCATCACTACCTCGTCCCATGGGACATCAAGCCATGCTAAAATCAAAGATGAACACTTGAAATATTTGGTTACTGGATGTTAGGTTAAAATCAAGTGCGTGCTTTGTTTAGACGCACTCTAATACTCACGGTGTTATGTTATTTTAACGCCACACAACAGCACTCAGTAAATCACCGCACTCAAAAATATTTCGCGAGCAAAATACTTTAAGCATTCAGATATACAAACTTTGGTAAAATCCTTACATTCAGTATGAGATGTTTGACGGCGCGCTGGGCTTTGAATTTGTCAACCTTAATTTACTTATCATAAATTCCTTGAATTATTTTGACAGTAGAATTATGATAAACAGGGTTATTAGCTAACAAAGTTTGCCTGCAGTCAGCCAACTCTGCTTATATCTTCGTTTATAAAAACATGCAAGTGGTCGCACATGTGAGATACTGACAAAAACATCGACCTGATTAATTATGCAAGTGTATTAAATGTTGCTGTTGACCTAAAGTACCCAGCTCTGCTTCGTTCTTCGGTGTCTGCAGGCAGAACTAGAATTATAAATTATGACTGAGTTGCGGCTCAGATTTCGAGAAAGCTTTATTGAAGCCTGTACGACTATTACTTTCCAACACATTGGCCGCAAGTAGTGTGTTCGGAACCCACTTAAGATTTACTATTTGCGTGTACTTAGTTTAAATACGCTACTGGCCCCAACACAAGTCTAACGTCAATTTATATCAATAATTACGCTAAATAAATAACTGGTTATGTATAGTACTGCGTCTAAAACAGGGGGATGCTAAATTTATTGAAACCTGAATATTTGTTTTTTAAATGCTGCTTACTTAAAAACAGATCAGGCATCAGCAACTTTTGAAGCAACTAAATTGCGCATTTAACTGCCGCAGTGTGCCTGAAGTACGCCACTGCCATCGGAATAATAACATTTTTGCTTTTTAAATAAAAAAATGAACATTGAAATAATGCTTTATCTGCCCTTTGGTAAACTAAAATAGATTGTCAGCATTATTACTCAATTGGACATATACAAGTTTTAATTGGAATCAGCATCTAAGTTAAACTTTTAAAAATTTATTTCCTATAGTGCTTTTGTGGGTGATATAATAACTGTATCTGCAATGCTTAAATATCGGTTTCCTGGGATTTAGGTATAAAAATTTTCTTGGTGGATGTGTTCGAAATGTCATGGTATATTTTTATTGAACGAATTTTAAAATTATGTGTATATCATCTTGTTAGGCTATTTAAGAAGCCTTCGTAAAAAGGTTTTAAAAAGGGTAAGTACGCAATCCGCTGTCTAAAGTACATCTAATATAAAAAATTGAACGAACGGAATAAACCTCCAACTGAAGACGACAGTGACAACTTTCGCGTCAGATTTTCCATTTTTTCTCTTGAATAATGTTGATTACTGCCCTTTGGTTGACCTAACGCAGTCTCCATTATGTAGTAAATTTACTTATTTTTCCGACTATTAGATGCTAGATTATTTTGGGGCGTAGTCCCTGAAAAATCGTACTCAAAAAAGGGAATTAGCTAAATGTACCCACTGGTTTAATGAAATCACATGTTGTCAAAGCGCCTAGCCCAAAATTAATTTGGACTACCTGCATAATGCCATTTAAATTAGAGGTTAATCATCTCAGAACAAAACCAATATAGCGTACGAAGACATTAAATCTAATACATTAAGGGAGTTGTCAGTGCACTGCTTGGGAAAGTCTGATTCAGTCTTTTCCGCAAACGGCAGTCATAGCGCAAGTAACGCAGTAGGAGGTCTGAATAGATTTATGGAAAACTGGCAACTGTATTGGTGTTCACATAATTTACCATAAGGCACACAAAGGTTTCGTTTAGATTGTGGATCAATCTTTACAGTGATTTTGACAGTTTAATTTGTATACTGTCTTGATAAAATAAGGTATTGTCTTAACAGACACAACACAAAGGCCTGCTGTTTTTTACTTAATTTTTTATCGTTTTATCTCGCGCTTACCTTTTGTGGTCAGCGACACCTGAAAGGAATGAGTTGCTTTTTTTGTGGATAGCACATTTCATGGGAATTGCGATTTCTCATTGATTTAAGAGCCATTCACGGTTACCAGGTGTTCTCTACTGCTAGGAGTAGCATTTCACTATTTTCAACCCTGAAAATGAATGCCTTCCTTGAAGAGTTAACTGATCTCGGCTAGAAATCAGGTTATGAATTATTTATAATCTAGTCTTTTTTATGAATGTACGGCACTAACCCCCACACTCTGTCTCTGAGTAGCTTGGAGCAAACGCAATGTAAGCCCTGAACTACTTCTGATTTGTTTATACGGTGATCACTGTGGTATTCGGCTGCGTTTTGTTGTGCAGAATCGTTTTAGCAATGCAATAGTTAGGCTAGAAGATTGTTACACGCAGTTATTTAGCATATTTTGTTTATTTAAATTGATTTAAGGCAGCACCAGTTTTTGTATCCAACGGTACTAAGTATTCCTTTTGGCTAAAATCGATGGTGACATCTTTTATAATAATATTTGACTCAATCCTTTTAAGTAAAGTGATGATGAAGACTTACCGAGAACATAACCTAAAGTTTCCCTCGGTCGTAAAACTAACTCTTCATAGCGGACGATCATGCATCTTTCAGATGCCTCGCATTCAGCGGTCACGTATTTGTAATGACTGTTCCACGTCTTAACTAACTTTTCGGGATTTGAAGTGTCAACGCCTACTATACGTACAGTTCGACTAAAAACAGAATGTAAAATTAAAGTTTTTGCCCTGATAAAAAATGATAGCGCCTACCTAGCATTAAGTTTTACCAAGTTTAAATCCTGTTTAAATAAACCGATTTGAAGTTCCAGAATTAGCAAGCAGATCCAAATATTTTGACAACAACAACAGCCGAAATGACACTAACTTTAAACAGACACGCTCGACATCTATTAAAGACACCCAGAGGCTCTACTTATACTGACGCTCACTAATACTTGCCTAACTTGTTGCATCAATACAAATCGTGGCAGAGGTGATCAAATTCCAGTTGTTTTGAATGCATTTCAAATTTTAAGAGCAGTATTTGTCAAATTCTTAGAAGATGTAGCTGATAAAAACTGGTCCTTACGTTATATATGGCCAATAAAAAAAGTAGATTAAAAGTTGTTTGGAAATCTAAATGAGGTTTTGAGACTATTATTGCTGCTAGATTCCTTAAGAGCTAAACAGAATTCCGTTACCTACTGCGCTGCATTTATATTATAATGACGAATCTTGCAACTTTCCACCGTATAGGATCCGAATAATTGTCATAGCTATGAGCATTGGAGCGAACGATCGAGTGTATCTCCATAAAATGTGGTTACCGGCGTCTGTTGTGAATTTTGATGACAGGTATAGTGCGATATTAATTTTAAAAAAAAAGATTCTAGTAAAAGTAAGCTACTATATTAGCAACCGTTACGGTGGATCTAACTAATTGAAAGTGAATACAAAGTGCTTAAATCCTTAGCATTCATAATTAAGCCCAAGGAAGCTATTTCAAATACGATTGTTCTACCAACATTTAAAAGTAAGACAATGTTGAATTCAATGACAAAGTATTCAACGGTTAAGCATCCATATGGTTGACTAATAGCATAGAGAAATTAAATGGTAAAAGGAAAATGTTGTGGAACTTATTAATCCCACCAAACAGGTCATTCAAATGTTCGTTAAAATAATTTTAGCCCCAAATTACTTTGATAATTTCCGTAAAATATCCGAAGGATTAAGCAAATTCCACATAAATATATAAAAAAGTGACGATGATAATTGTTTTATTTTGACCAACTAGTGTGCTTCTGAAAACTGCTTCTCTATTTGCTAATCAGCCCCTTGAGTTCATATAGATTCCTGAAAATTTAGTAAAAATCTGTTCTTTTAAGTATCTGCTGGCTTACACTTATCTACAGATAACCGCCTTATTAAGCATCATTCATCAACAGATTTTATTTTTCGGAAAATTGTAATGCTTAGGTGATTTAATGTCTGATTAACATGATGGGAAGAGGAAAACTTTTTAGCAGCACCTGAAGTTATTGATTTGCGTAGATATATAAAGACATATTTCAACACAGTCATTACGTTAGCAGAAAATGTACCATCGGCCTCTAACAACTATACAACCTAAATAAGTGTTAATATTTCCTAAAAAAATAATGCAATATCAAAGGCGCTTTACTTTTCCGACAAATACTGATTAAGATTGGCATGCTTTGAACTAGCACAATTTCAATATTAAAGGCTGCAACTTACATTCATCTAGAGGCATCATCTAGTGACAAATACACTGCCCAACATTTAGTAACGACAGCATTCACTGGGTTACATGAAAAGTTTACCGTCATGTTAAGGAATAAACATTGGAATTCATTCGGAAATAAAATGTTCAGGTGCCTTCTAAAGCACGTCAGTTTCTGGGAGGAATGAAGATTAATTAGACACATGCCGCCGTAATTTCATGAAAAAAGGTGAAAGTGAAATTATTGTAGAACTATCGTAAACTTGCTAAATCTGAGTGCATGTTAAATCAAATGCGTTCTTCATCGACATATAGACAAGGTGACATGGATTCAAATTCAACTGTCTGTTTGAGTTAAACAATTGAGGAGAACAATGCGCCAACCGGCCAGAAGAAGCTTGTAAATGGCAGATTTTAGAACCTTATTGGTTCAACTTTGTTGCTTACAGTTAAGTAGTCTAATGTCAATGTGCATTATCTATATTCCTTGACAGCTACGCTTTGCAGAATTTTTAAATGTTAGAATACTTAGCCAATTAATTCTAGCTGTTTTTGGGATAAAACCGAGTGAATCCAGCGTAAAACGTGTGCGTATTCGCAAATGCAGTCAGTCTAAACGCAATCGTTGTACACTGCATGGTGCAAAATTAACTAATTAAATTTTCAACTCTACTCTCTCGAATTCGACCATTTTGTGTGCGGTATATCCAAATTAAAGACAGCCTCATCACGCAGCAAGAATTTTAAAAAGCATTTAAGGGCTTTTGGGTATGAGCATCATGAAGAATCTCCGTTGAAACCGCTGCGGCAGCCTATTATCTTGGTAGTGTACTCGTGTTTACAGAGATAGATGAATCAAGTTCACAATTGAAGCAAATGCCACGCTTCCTTTTAAGCAGTCAAATTTCAAGAACCTTTTTTTCATTTTCATTAGGTGCGGATCTTAATATACAACCTCTTTATCAATTACCCGTGCTTGGATGCTTAGTTGCAATCAATCATTATTACATTTCACAGCTGACAGCGTCTGTTGGCCAGACTATCGTTTCGTAATTTGCTTGGGCACATTTCACGCTTGGAGGTGAAATGCATTTGGCCTATCTGAAGTGTCCTTGCGCCAGTCAGACAATTTCGGTGTTCTAATGCAATATTTCCCTAACCTCTGCTCAGTCATTATCTGGTTGGAGTACTCGCTAGTCCAAAATATGATGCGTCGTCAGCAAATTCGAAATAAACAGTCCGAGGTTACCGTGACTACATAAGTGAGCAAAAATTCTGCATGAATTTTAGCCAGTCATATTTTAAAAGCCTTAGTCGACTTCCCTGTTTTTAATCTTTTTACTCCTTTCTGCATTCATTAGGTTTCACGACAGGTTCTTGAAAAATATTTTTTTTAGGTTCTCAATACGCTAAAATCTACTTGCTTTAATCCATCATTTGACCTTGGAATCTATTTTTAAAAGACTTCTGTACTTCATTACTAGATATTCAGCTGTGCATATGCAACAGGAGTGATAATGACGCCAAGTAATTTTAGATAGCGTGAACTCCTCTTTCATGAATCCTAAGAATCATGTGGAAGCCATTTTCCAAGGTAACTTACATTAAACATAAAAACAAATGAACGTTCAATTAGTCTGTCTACCTATTAAGGCAAGTAATGTATTCTAATGCAAACACGTACAGCATGCGAGTTGTTAGTCGGGCATGCTGGTTGCCAGGAGTAACCTTTGTTTATGTATCTGCAGTTATTATGGTAATCGACACTATCGTAAAATGTTGGAAAACCCATCTTGAAAACTTAAAAAAGCCGCCCGTTACGTTTATCATAACTGTTAATCACCAAAAAAGAGGTAGGGCTAACTTTTTGTCAGGTGAGATCCAAACCGAGTACTACCTACGATTGATTGTAAGTTGTTTATGGAACGCTATCCATTTATGCTCAGCTTTTGGTAGAAGCATAAAATTACCAGCAATGACGCGACAAAGTTGTTACAATTGGCATGTCAGGAATGGAGTTAACATTTTTGAACAGATCGAAATTTTTGATGAAACCTGGAATTCACAGCACCCACAGATTAGGGATAAGTTCACCAGCAAGCTTTATGCAGTAAAATCTGTGTTCGTCATGTTAGTGAAGAGTTTAGTATCCAAATTAACGTTACGCTTGGCATTCGCCCATCCAAAGCGGTAACAAGCGCATTCGGGATGATGGACAAGCTTTGAAGAAAATGTGCAAGATTAAATCATGGGGAAGTCTATGATGGTTATGGCAGCTTCAAGGTTCCATAAAAGGTAGGTTAAAAAGCATTTTAGTGAAATCAATTGATTTTTTTAATCGATTTCATTGTGAAACTTTGTTAAGCACAGAAATAAAGTTACATCACTATTTGTTAAGCTAGGGAGAATTTTAACGCACAAGAAAGTCAAACAATTCAAATTAATTTCAATTTGAACAGGAAGGCTATTCCAATGACAGTATTGACTGCATGAGTCCTGGAAGCTGTTCAAGAAATTTTCTCCTTCTTGAAAATATTTGGCTTAAATGACACTTCACTACGTGAGAAGATCAGATGGGTTGCCTAAATTGGAAAACTATAAGTGAAGTACCTGCACCCTACACGTAACTTAGCAACATTTGCTCCTATTTCCATAAAACTGACAACCATGTTAGCATGGAGCTTTGCGTTTGGTTCTGTGTTATTGTAACTATGTTAAGCCATTAGACTCAAAGTTTGAAACGTTTGACGAAATCACCTAAAGGAATTTATCGCTGTGCGGACTTCCTCTGAAGGGCGCACACCTAAAACGATGAAAGTTCACTGGCAGTTGGTTAATATTGCTTGTATCTGAATTAAGCCAAATCAGTGGACTTTCTCTCGCCTATATTTTGGCCCCAATTTTAGAATTTGATGACGTGAAGAATGATGGCTTTATTTGACGCAGCAGCTCTAAGATGCGAACAATTTTACGACAGAGTCTTCGCTTGTAGCACCAAAGCACCTTGATTTCATGATTTATTGGCGATTCGTTGATAGACTCAAGTTGGGAGCCGGAAGTTAAGTGGATGGCATGGTAAATGTAAACTTCCGTACTTTCACATTCAAAATGGAAAACCTAGTGTCAATTTGAAGTCTTTCTCCTAAACACATATTTCAGGACAGACTGTTTGGTAAATCACGTTATAACTTTACTATGAAAAAAACACATCTATCAGGAAAGACAATTCGTGCCACAACATGAATTTACATTAATCTGTCTCTGTCTATTTGTGTATATAATCATTTTCACCACACAACTGCTGCGATTGCTATTAGGGTGATTAGAATTCACAGATCATTGCAACATTTTTAGTGTGAACTTAGACAACAAAAAAGAAAAAAATTACAATTTGTATGAACCATGACTGTATACAATGTTTGCATTTTATATTTGCTAAGTTCCAACACAGAAACTCGGATATTTATACACATACGTTTGTGTTACAATTCAAGACCACGGTAAGTAATACATAGTATAACAACTCCAAAATATTAATGTAACTTTCTAACCAATTTGTATCTAGTCGTTGAAGTGGAAAAGTGAGGGCTTTCGTTAGAGTGAAACCATTCGTCAATAAAAAATCTGTGTTTAGTGTCGCCTTTTGAGGATAAATTCGTGAACGGAAATCACGCACCACTTCGATGAAAAAGTTTGATGTTATATTTTGAGAGACCATCAAAGCTAGCATGTCAAATTCGTCATTAGTAGTACAGACAGTACAGTTTTTCATCACACTCTCTTAATTGTAGTCCACATTAAATAGCACACTTTTGGAGGTGTATTACATGGCTTATATTAATTTGTTTAAATATAACAGTGTAATAAAAACATTAGTAGGGTTCAGAGAGTCATTCAATTAAACAAAGTTGACTTTTAATAACATGCATATCTCGAGTCATTTTGTTGCAAAACTTTGCAATTACAATTATTATTTCAACAGACACAACTGCATTCCTAAGCACTACTTTAGCACTACTGAATTTTTGACACTTAAACAAATTTATAGGATTTGACGTTGGCTGCCACTAGTTTGGTCTCTTACGAAACACGGAAAAATTTTTACGTTTTATTCAAAATATCTTCCTTTAGAACTCGAAGACTGTCATCTTGATTATCAAAGTAAATATCGATTAAATTGATCATATATTTAACAGTGAAAAAGTCACACGATATTCCTGTATTAACTTATGCTTAAGTTGAATTCACAACTCCTGTGTTATTAGTTTAAAGTGGGAAGAAGATTATTGATTCAGACTTATTTGATGTTTGGTATAGTTTTAGATGAAATACATAATCATCTAAAATTATGTAAATAATTATGAACCAGGTATAAAAATGCGTCCTATTTTAACCTACATTCTAAGTGCATCCAGTCGCATAAATTTGTAATGATGAACTAAGTGCAAAATAACTAGTCATCACTAAAGCAAAATTGGTCGCTTCTCATTAAAAACTAAACAATTAAAAAACTAGCCTGATAATTGAGTTCGCAACTGCCCTGCCATCTCGAACCATTAAAATGAACTTTCCATTGGGGAAGAGATGCAGGAGGTACTTTAAATTGAAATCGATGAAGGGGTCCTTGACACAGAGGCGTTTGGCGTCGGGGCCAGTTTTGTGCAGCAGCCCACTGATCATACTCACGTAAATTGAGTCCACAAGCTCGTGAGAAATGTTTGCCTCGTGTAGCCTCTTGTCAAATAATGGAGCTATTTTCGAAGAATACAAATAAAGGAAGTGAGGAAGAATGTGGGTTTCAGGTCCACACCGAATACTTGGATGGACATCCAACAGAACACGCATCAGTGTAGTTCCTGTAATTTGAAATGGTTAGTTGTTAGTGATGACGTAAATATCATTTGTATAGTAATGTTAATGCAGGCTTCTATCATAGCTAAACACTCGACAACTGTATCTACACTCCATTTTGGAATCTACGAATATCTACCATAAAATGATAGATAGCCATTTGCTGAAACTATACAAAGAAAAGTAGCTGTCGAAAAAATAGCCTTGAAGGAATAAACCACTAAGATTATGTAAAATGGCTACTAAAAGTTGTTGATTTCGGAATGTAAGATTTCACTTCAAGCAGGATTCTAAGATAAAATTTGCGATGCAATAAATTGTTCCAAAACCTAATAAAACAGTTACACCTACTAGTTATCCTTCTGGATTTGTTTATTTCAATTATGCCGTTAAGTGGATTGACTACTATTCATATATTCCATAGTTTGCTTGCTGTTATGATTGTGTCCACTATCTAACTCGAATTTGTCCTAGCTGTTGCTACTAGCTTCACATTCATATGGCGAATACCATGGTGTGACATTTCAAATTAAACAAATATTATCAGACAAAACATTTGTTATAGGCGCGAACTTTTACACAGTTTTATTTTTTGGTATTCGGTTTATGGGCCGCTATTTTGCAATTCAGTGACGTTTTAAATTATTACAAACGCCAAGCGTCGAAATAGGCATTGCTTGATTTCCAAATCTTTTTGATGATTTTTGTAGTAAAGTGTCCCATTCTCAGTGGTACTTCCATGAAAACCTGGTATTCGTCAACGCTTAAAACACCAACTCAGGTCTGTCGTAGCTAATACACTTTATTATTACATAAAAAACTATGCAGAAATCGGGTGTACTAGCTGGTGCAAAAAGGGTCCCAACAGCTCTAACATTTTAAAAGGGCTGATACCCTTCCAGGTTAGGTGTATTAATGTCGCTTCCTTGACCAAGGTTATTTTTTATGTCATTCTGAAGTGGCCTTGTGTTCTGGCAAATTTGTGGAATCCAAACCATCAGAATAAAGAACATATATTACAGCATGAATTTTCTCATTTTTTCGATTTGACATAAATAATTCAGTGAAGAATTTCATAAACTGAATAGTTGTGGGAATCTACACGATCTTTCTATTCTCAAGTCAGTCATTAGCGCGTGCTTCGTTTTGTAGTGCATGATTAAGTTATTTTCGAATAAGCTTAAAATTTGAGGAAAAAAGATAAAAAGGGTTACGACAATTCAAATGCTGGTACAGATAATAAGTTAATAGAATTACTGCAAATTTCAGTACATTTTAAATGTAACTGATATCTTGCAACAATGTATTCACGTGCAATTTTACTAGTCCTCCTCATTTCTTATCTAACTGGAACAACTACCGCACAAGAGGAACAATAAGAAAAGTTAATTTACTCTCTGGGCACGGACGAAACGTTTTGATATAGGCTCAAATGAGAATAATAAAGCTTGTTTTAAAGAAAGAATTGAGTGTAGCAAGGGAATTATTAAGTTTCAATTAGCAAGATTTTAAGTGCTGTACCATTCTAACATTTCAGCAGTTAATTAAAAAAATGCAATCTCGGTTTTGAGAGCAAAGTGCTGGCAGTTGTCAAAATTGATTACTGCTTTTGTTATTACGTCTTCTTGTGCATGAACAACTGACACCAGCATACGACCAAAGAAGGAATTTGATTGACATAATTGAAGTAAATTACTCAAAAAACTGAACAGCTGCTTCAAGATTTCCGAGACCACCGCATCTAGGACTGCGTAAAATATTCACTTTTGAGGTATGTGCAGATGTTGGCATGCGAGGACAACGAAATCCAGCAAACAGTAAATTTACGGTTAATAAAAAATGAATTGCTCTAAATATAGACCTCTTGATATTTACAAACAGGTTACGTGCAAATACCAACAGAAATACATATACGAACAAATTTGTGTGCTTAAAACAAATTCAGACGGCTATAATTAATGCTACATATATACTTATAAAATTTCAAATTGTAAAGTCTAATATTAACCCGAAGGAGTAAAAATGTGTAACTTGTGGTCAGTCAAAATATTCCTTAGCCATAGTAAACTTCAAGAAAAACAATTGCAAAAAGGCATTTTCATTAAAGTTTTACGTAATGATTGCAGTATTAAATTTTAGATGTCAATATTGAAAAAATATATTACAAATATCTTTCTTTACCACTTCTTGGATAACCCCCAATAAAAATGAAGGGTTCATTGCTTTGGGAACTAGAATCGCAATTGTTTTGACATTCGAAGGTGAACAAGCTAGAAAGCGTTGATTTCAAAAGTATGAAAAGACCGAGGGCACCGAATAAAGTGGCAGGAAACAGCAGAAATCGGATACGACTGGACCATCTGGGATACATTTCACTGAAGAATACTACACCTGAAGCATACAAAAGAGAAGGTAGGCAATCAGTGCCACATACAGTTCTAGTACAGCACCAGCAATTAATTCGTGGATGGCTGTAGGTAAAATTCCAAACCAAGGACCTAAACATTAAGCTTGAAGTGAAAAAAAAAAACTTTTTTTACAGCACAGATAACCGTTAGCAATATGCATATTAAACAAAATTTAACAACACCATGTATAAAAGTCCTATATTCTACAAATATATTTCACATACTTTTTACCTGTTAAAATATTAAAAGCACGAAAACATATTTTTGACTTTTGTGGATGGCAAATTAAAACCTTTACAAAGGCCTCTTTTCTTTCCTTTAAAATTGATTTGGAAAAGTAGGGTATGCCACTGTTTTAAAGTGCATATTTAAACGGTCAGCCATCAACAAATAATGCTGGCTCATTGATATCCCTTTACTGTCAAAGACTGACAAACACGAGAAAACAGTAAAAGAGATTTCGAGATCTCTATAATTCAGCTACACTGATTAGTTTCAAAAAGATAAAAAACGAAAGCGGCTTATATTCAAACAAAGTATAACGAATGGTCGTTAAAATTAATGATGTTGCAACAAAATCGTTATTTGCTGCAACAGGCGAATTTGAGGAAAACTTGGGCTTTTATGGTGAGGGACGATTGCATGCATGCAAAGACATTATTCCCAGACTTGCAGTGCATTAGTAACTAACTATTACTTTAGTTAATGTAATTACTGACTCGCGTTTTCCTTGATTAGACATTAAGAGTGCTTTTGGTCTTTGAGTTAAATCATTTTTCTTAGATTCAAAGAGTTCAAACATTGTCATAATCGCTTGGTTCTTGCAGTGGCGATTGGTTAAAGGTTCATGCTCTTTTACCCAAATTTGATTTCTGGTTCTGTTTACTAACAAAAATAGTTCAAGAATAATTAAAAAAATCGCCTACGACGAAAAACTCTGAAGCTCAACGATTCAATGCCAAAGTTCATAATCCACATGATGATGTGGTTCAACAACAAATTTTCATCGATGCTATATAATAGCTTCCTATTTGACTCCCTGATCTATGCAGCAGCACACTCAATCTTATGAATACGATTACGGGATTGAAAACTTATCTTTAGGAGAATTAAAGTCAGCCAAAAGTAACCCAAACAGCACGAATTTCAAAAACTGCGGTTAATGATTCCCCATGGAAAAGGATGTTGCAAATTAAAATGATTGTAAATCATAACCTAATAGCATGATATTGACAATAAAAGTTAGCAACGACAAAACCATACACTCATTTATGAAGGCTGGCGTAACTTTCCGGTTAAACGAATTATTTTAACGAATATATATATTGAACACAAACAACACATTACACCATAACTGTAGAAAATTTTTTACTTCACTGCGGAGCTATTATTGTTGTTTGAGGTTTTGAATAAGCTTAGTGACGTCCGGAAAGCGCCCGATGTGTTAATATACATCATTCCAAATGCGTAATTAACTGCCTTAACATGGACTAGTAAATTTTAATTTCTTTGCGTGATAATGGTGTAGTACAGGCAATTTTAGCACTCTACTTCGGGGTAACTGATCCTCCTTTTTAAATCTTGGCTTCTCCCTGTTCAGCCTCGTTTTAAGTGATTTTGTGTACATGGAAAATTTTAGTGACAATTCAAATAGCAGCTAGAGTTACGTTTTATTTTAACATCCAATTTAAACTTTTTCCGGCCGTTTTTTTCAGGCTATGCTTATCACGCAACGCCCTGTTAAACATTAAAACGCTTGCGCTGATTTTTATACGTATTTGCATCCAATGAAAAATGCATAACTAATTTTCCATTAAAAACCTATAATTTACTGAATTGATGTAGGCAAGCCGAGTACCGGTGAAAGTTAAAATTTCCATTGTAGGGCAACTGTCTAGAAACCAAAACTCCTGCACGTTAAAAGACCCAGTTAGCACATGGAAACATCTCGGCTGATTAGTTGCTGATCGGCCACAGACAGAAGAAACTGACCCATAATTAATGTAAGGCTTGGTGGAAATAATAAGCAGTGCACACCACATGATTTTTTCCAAGCTCAAGCATTAGAGAATACACTATAGTCCAAAGCAAATTACATTCAAAAACACCATTAACAGACAATTAGAAAAAAATTGCAAGGGAAACTGCGTTTGTTGTGTCAATAAACTCGACTAGCAACACAACTATGAGACGTGAATGTTACTGAATGTATACGAACTTGATCTACGGTATCCAGAGGACATATTTTGTAAAACGTTGGCCGATTTACAGTCTTGGCTAATAAAACGTTGTTGATTCATCGCATATCAAATGAAATAGTGGCGTGTTGTTGTGCTCGGGCCTTTAGTGAGGATTACATTTAGCATTCAGTGAATGCTTCCAAACAAGCAATAACTAATATCCAGGAAACCAAATAGAGTA